CAGAAAGAAAGAAAGAAAGAAAGAAAGAAAGAAAGAAAGAAAGAAAGAAAAGAAAGGAGGGCGGGAGGGAGGGAGGGAGGGAAGGAAGGAAGGAAGGAAGGAAGGAAGGAAGGAAGGAAGGAAGGAAAGAAAAGTAGTAATGCATCAGAGATGCTGGGTATTGAACCAAAGAACTCCAAGAGACAAACTAAAAACACTAGGCTTTTTTTTTTTTCCACTTAAATGTCAGTCGTTTTTAAATATACAAACAAACAAACAAAACCCAGCTGGAAATAACCTAAATGTCCATTAAGGGGGAAATGGTTAAATAAATCATACCAGATTCTGAAAACACATGTCTACAAAAACAGAATGAAATGGATTTGTCCATCTTCATGTGAAATATATCCCAGATATAAAGTGAAACCACACTGGTGCAGAGTATATACACATAGTATGATCACATACTACATACGAGAAAGGATACACATATCTGTGCTTGTAAAATAAACCTCTCTAGAAGGAAACGCTGTTCTCCACCAAAGAATGGGACTGAGGGAACTAAAGAGGGTGTTTGCTGTTTATGCTATGCACTTCTATCCTGTTTTCCATCCTAAAAAAAAAAAAAGGGCCTTGTTTAGGCATTATTTTTATGTAAATGGGTTTCAAAATGAGTTTCAAAACGGGTTCTATTTTGAAAAGTAAAGGTCAACATTTATTGAGAAAAAAACTCCTGCTACTGGCTTTTTAAAAACAACCTTCTTAAGGGAGAATTTACATACCACAAATTCACCCACTGTATAGTGTAGATTGTTAACTGGCTTTTGTGCTGAGTTGTAAGAATTTATTTGGCATGAGAAACAAAATATTTTATGTAACCAAGTGCAAGAATAGCTTTGCTGTCTAAGAAATCTAGGGATATCAAAATTTGAGATAATTTAGTAATCGTAACAAGGGTCAATAATGCTTGGCCTTCGGATTATGGGGGAAAGGTCAGAACTATAAGATCCTATAGAGCTTAGCCACACCAAAAAGAAGAAAGAAGAAGAAAGGAAGAAGAAAAAGAAATGAAAAGAAAGAAGGAAGGAAGGAAGGAAGGAAGGAAGGAAGGAAGGAAGGAAGGAAGGAAGGAAGGAAGGAAGGAAGGAAGGAAGGAAGGAAGGAAGAGAAAGAAAGAAAGAAAGAAAGAAAGAAAGAAAGAAAGAAAGAAAGAAAGAAAGAAAGAAAGAAAGAAAAGAAAGAGAAAGAAAGAAAGAAAGAAAGAAAGAAGAAAGAAAGAAAGAAAGAAAGAAAGAAAGAAAGAAAGAAAGAAAGAAAGAAAGAAAGAAGAGGAAGGAGGGGGAGGAGGAGGAGGAGGAGAAATAAAAGAAAACAGAAAAGAAAAGAAAAAAAAAGAAAGGAAGGAAGGGAGGGAGGCAGGAAAAGAAGGGAAGGAAGGAAGGGAGGGAGGAGGAAAAGACAAGACAAGCAAACTCTAGCAGGGCTAACGCCAGTCTTCTATATACACCAGCAGATCGAATAAGCCGAAGCTCAGCTCGATGGACCCCCAAGAGTGGCTGCCACCGGGGAGACTTGTGGCTCTGAAACAAAGCCCGGTGGTTTCCCTTCGTCTCTGGACTTCGAGCTTGACCTAACTTTCTAGTCCCTTCCCCACCCCATACCCCCCCAAAGCGGCCCACGAAGGCCGGAGGTTTCGGGGCGCAGTCGCTCAGCAGCCCGAGGTCTCTGTCCCGGGCAGCGGGAGAGAAATGCTGCACCCTCAGCCAGGCACCCGCGTGCCCAGTCCCGCCCCTCGCCCGCAAAGCGCGACCCGGGAGACAGCGCACGGCCGGCCCTTGGTCCAGAGCTCCCACCTGTGCCCCGCAGCATGTTGTCCCGGAGCAGGTCCCCGCTGGAGAGGTGCTTCAGTTCGAAGTGTTTGGTGATGCGCGACGACACGGTGCCCTTGCCTGAGCCTGGGGCCCCCATGATCACCGCGCGCAGCAGCCGCGCGGACGCCCCCATAGCCGCAGACCGAGGCCCGCGCCGCGCCCGCACCAGCTTTGGCCTGGCCTGCGCGCTCACCCGCTCTGCGGCCCGCGCCGGCCGTCTGGCAGCGCCCTAAAGGGCGGCGACCGCGGCTCCCAGGCGTTCCCGGAAGTGAGGCGACGGCCTCTGGGGCCGCCCCGCTAGCGCCAGACCCCACTGCTGCGCCCGCCTCTCGGCGACCCCGGCGCGCCCCCTGCCCGGCGCCCGGCTCCCGGCCCAGTCCCGCAGTGCAAGCCGCGCCCCCTCAGCGCTCGCTAGGCCGCCCGGCTCCCACTTGCACCGCCCCGCGGCCCCTCTCCAACGGCTGCTCGGCCCGGATCCCTTGGGCGCCGCTCTGCACCCACCTCCGCGCGCCCTCCACTCAGCTCAGTTCTACTGCGCGCCTCTCCGCGACCTCTCGCCCTGTCCGGCCCAGTCCCGGCCGGGTGGACCGCGCTGCCTTCTGTCCGACCTTGGTAACTCCTGAGCGCCCCATGCCTACCTCTAGTCGCCCCTGGGAGCCGCTTGGTTTCGGAATCCACCCGCACCCACCCCTCCATCAAGCCTTTCTTAGCCGTCGCCCCTGGTCCACGGCAGGCGCTGCCCTCCCCAGTCCCTGCCGGACACACCGCACTCCCTTCCGAGCTCCCTTGACAACCCTTGTCCCCGCTCCACCTGGCGCCCACTCGAGACCCCCTCCCCTCTGCTCCCCTGGACCGCCAGACGCCCCGCTTCTGCACCCACTTCCGCGTCGCCCCTCCCTCCTTCCTCTTCCTCTGCTGCCGAGCGCCCTCTCTTCCCATTCCTTCTCTGTGTACAATCACAGGGAGTGACCTTGAGCCGAGAGGGCCTACCTCATCTTACAGAAGAAGAAATCTAGCTTTCGTTAAGTGAGATTCTTTTATAAATAACATAAGAGAGTGTGTGAAAGAGTGGAGGCAGGCTGCTGTGGATAGGCTATCGGAAGAGCTTTGAAGAGATGGCCTTTGTGCTGAGTACTGAATTAGAATATGGAAGGGGAGAGACAGAGGCAAGGAGGAAGGCCCTAAGACTGGAGGTTTGGCATGTTTCAAGAATGGAAACAGAGGACAGACATTTCAGTGAGTAGCATTTTGTCTGTAAAATGGACATAGAGGATTAGAATGGAGGAGTTCAAGTATTGTAGTACTTAGTGCAATGACAGCTACAGGTTAAATGGTCAAGTCCATTTATTATCATTGCTTTGTGTGGGGACACTATGCTAAGGCAGAAAGAAAGCTCTGTGAAAATAAACACAGTTACCTTTCTCCTCAGAGGTCCAGAACTGATTTCAAAGAAGATAGAAATGATTTCAGGGCAAGACACTGAGGGAAGACTTGCTCAGGGAGTGAATCTTGGGTGAATGGGTGGGGAGATTTCAATAGGTAGACAGCCTGGTACTTAGAAAAGGCATTAGCTTTTACGTTCTGCTGTGGAAAAAAAAAGAAAGAAAATACATACCTTGTACAGTTTTATTTTTCGAGACAGGGTCCCAGGCTGGAGTGCTGTGACACGATCTCAGCTCACTGAACCTCTGCTTCCCAGGTTCAAGTGATTCTCATGCCTCAGCTTCGTGAGTAGCTGAAATTACAGGCACCCGCCACCATGCCCAGCTAATTTTGTATTTTTAGCAGAGATGATGGGATTTCACCCTGTTGGCCAGGTTGCTCTCAAATTCCTGACCTTGAGTCATCTGCCGGCCTTGACCTCTTGAAGTGCTAGGATTACAGGCTTGAGCCACAGTGCCTAGACGAGCTCATACATGCTCATTACTAAGCAAGAAAGAATGAAAATAATGAAAATAAATGAACTAAACATTGAATTCATGTAATTGGGAAAAGGTCATCAAAATAACCCATAGAATGCAGAGGAAGGGATGAAGTAAATAACATAAATGAAAGGCTGAGAAAACTTAAACAGAACTAACTAAAGAATGAAAAAGTTTGGACAAGTACAAATTTGCAATACTAGAAAATCTGAAGGTGTGGAGAAAGTACTTCTAATCTCCAAAGCTGGGAACATAGGAGGTTCCAACTCCAAAAGAAACCGGAAAGAAAATCCTGGGGAAATTTGGCTTAAAAAAAAAAAATGTTCAAACAAACAACAATAGCTGAGGAATCATCCTCTCTCATTGCAAGGGCGAAAAGCTGAATTTTGTGGTCATATTAACCGGCCCACAAAACACCAACCAACTTTGACTTTGCAAAAGGTTGTTGATTACAAATGAGTAATTGCCAGTCTGTTAAATCTCCTGGCAACTATGCCTGGCATAGACATTTCACCATTCACAGGCATTTGTGTTCCTCACTGCTTGCTTACCTTGTTCCAACAGAAAAACACTGAGGTCAAATTAATACAAATTCTAACTTAATGACCAAGTGTTTATACAGATTAGATTGAAGCAAATAAAGCCCAGATGAGTGCTTTGCGCATGGTGGGCACTCAGTAGGTATTTGTTGATTGAACACAAAGAATTACTGTTTTATCATTTTTGTTGTTTCTTTGTTTTTGAAACAGAGTCTCCCTCTGTCACCCAGGCTGGTGCAGTGGCACAATCTTGGTTCACTGCAGCCTCCACCTCCCAGATTCAAGAGATTCTCCTGTTTCAGACTCCTGAGTAGTTGGGACTAGAGGCTTGTGCCCATGCCCAGCTAATTTTTGTATTTTTAGTAGGGGTTTCGCCATGTTGGCCAAGCTGGTCTCGAACTCCTAACCTCAAATTATCCTCCTGCTTTGGCCTCCCAAAGTGCTGAGATTACAGGCATGAGCCACCGTGTCACACTGAAGATTGAAATGTTTAAGGGCTCTAGAATGTACAACTGAGGAGGAAATGATGGGCATGTGTCATGGATTGTATTGTATTCCCCCAGGAGATATGTTGAAGTCCTACTCCCCAATACCTCAGAACATGACCTTACTTGCACATAGGGTCTTTGCAGACATAGTTAAGATAAGGTCGTAGTGGAAGATGGTCAGCTCTTAATCCAATATGACCTGAAAACATAGGAGCAGAATGCCATGTGACAATGGAGGCAAAGATTGAGCTTACACAGCTGCAAGCCAAGGAACACCAAAGATTGCTGGGGACACTAGAAGCCAAGAGAAAGACACAAAGCTGATTCTCCCTAGGGACCTTGAGAGAGAATAACCCTGCCTGCACCTTGACTATGAATTGCAGCCACTAGAACTGTGAGAGAATAACTTTCTATTGTTTCAAGCCCCCTAACTTGTGGTAATTTGTTACTGTAGCTCTAGGGAACCAATGCAGCTTGTTTCCAAGAAATATATATATGTATATGTGTTTGTATGTTGCTTCACACTATGTGTTACCTAGATGAGAACAAAAGAAAAGAAGCATTTATGTTTGAGAAGTCATGACCAGGATTGTAGTGTGACAAAGAGAAGGAAGGTGCATCAATTATCCACTGCTATAAAAATCCACTTCAGGCCAGGTGTGGTGGCTCACACCTGTAATCCCAGCACTTTGGGAGGCCAAGGCTGGAGGATCACTAGAGTCCAGGATCACTAGAGACCAGCCTGGGCAACATAGTGAGACCTCTTCTCTACCAAAAAACAAACAAACAAAACAAAATGAACAAAATTAGCCAATGTGGTGGTATGCACCTGTGGTCTCAACTATTTCGGAAGCTGAGGTGGGAGGATTGCTTGAGCCTGGAAGGTCGACACTGTAGGGAGCGTTGATCACACCACTGTACTCCAGCTTGGGTAACAGAGCAAGACTCTGTCTCAAGAAAGAAAGAAAGAGGCCGGGCGCGGTGGCTCAAGCCTGTAATCCCAGCACTTTGGGAGGCCGAGGCGGGTGGATCATGAGGTCAAGACATCGAGACCATCCTGGTCAACATGGTGAAACCCCGTCTCTACTAAAAATACAAAAAATTAGCTGGGCATGGTGGTGCGTGCCTGTAATCCCAGCTACTCAGGAGGCTGAGGCAGGAGAATTGCCTGACCCAGGAGGCGGAGGTTGCGGTGAGCCGAGATCGCGCCATTGCACTCCAGCCTGGGTAACATGAGTGAAACTCCGTCTAAAAAAAAAAAAAAAAGAAAGAAAGAAAGAAAGAAAAAGAAAAATATCCTGGCCAGGTGCGGTGGCTCACACCTGTAATTCCAGCACTTTGGGAAGCCAAGATAAGCAGATCACTTGAGGTCAGGAGTCCGAGACCAGACCGGCCAACATGGTGAAACCCCTGTCTCTACTAAAAATACAAAAATTAGCTGGGCGTGATGGTGTGTGCCTGTAGTCCCAGCTATTTGGGAGGCTGAGGTACGAGAATTGCTTGAGCACTTGAACCCGGGAGGCAAATGTTGTACTTAGCCAAGATCATGCCATTGCACTCTAGCCTGGGTGACAGAGTGAGACTTTGTCTTAGTAGATAAATAAATAAATAAATAAATAAAATACAAAAATTAGCTGGGCGTGGTGGTGCACACCTATAATCCTAACTAGAGGCAGAGGTTGTTCTGAGCCAAGATCATGCCATTGCACTTCAGCCTGATTGACAGAGTGAGGCTCTGTCTCAACAGATAGATAGATAGATAAATAAATAAATACAAATACAAATACAAATACAACAATTATCTGAGCATGTGGTGCACACCTGTAATCCCAACTACTCAGGAGGCTGTGGCAGGAGAATCTCCTGAACCTGGGAAACGGAGGTTGCAGTGAGCCAAGATCACACCACTGCACTCCAGCCTGGGCATCAGAGCAAGACTCTGTCTTCAAAAAAATAAAAATAAAATAATAATAAATATATAAGGGAAGAATGTTCTAGAGAGAAAAAGAACAAAGGCAAAGGCCCTGAGGGAGGAATATGCTTGAGTTTTCAAAGAAGCCATTCTGCCTGAAACAGAGCAAGAAGGAAAATAACAGGAAAGCTCAGGGAGGTAGTGAGGGTCCAGAGCCTACAGGGCCTAACAAACCACCGTGGCAAACGGTATTTTCCAAAGATAGCCACGATGCCAACTCCCAGTCCATGAGCTCATCTTTGACACTTCTCCAATCAAGAGGTGAGGTCCCTGTCCCCTCCACCTTTAACTGAATAGGCTTCTTGACTGTTTTACCAATTGAGTATGGTGGAAGTGATGTTATGTGATTTCCAAGGCTAAGTCATAAAAGACAAATATCTTCTGATTTGTTCACTGGGACACCCATTTTGGAAGCCTACAGCTGCCACATG